GGACCATATTGCAATCGTTGGAAAAATTGTCCTTGGAATTGTACAAAAATTCAATGTAAGTTCCATTGGAAAATTAATTGTATTGATGATAGATCCAAAATAATTTCATATTGGGGGCATTATTTAGTTAATACAAAAAAATATATCATCAAAATAACATGTCATTGCAATTTATAAATTATACTTTACATAATCTATCACCTTTCTCATTTATAATACATTTTAATAAATTAATACAGTCACAACAAGGTAAAATTTATTTAAGAAACTAAAAGACATGATGTTTCTCAATTCAACATAAGAAAATTGTTATATTTCTTGTTGTAATTTTCGTTTAATTTTTCTCATTTTATTGTAGTAAAAGTAGGACTCAAATCTATAAAACAATTGCATTATATATAATATTGTGTGCAACTATTATTATGAAAATGTTGATATGATAGAAAATATAACACATTCAGTGTAACACGTTCAATGTAATTATAATTTAATTTATGATAATAAGTTTTTTTTTTTAAAAAAAAAACAAACAAGATACTTTGAAAGGTCCTTAATTATTTTATTAGTATTATAATAACTAAATAAGGGGTAAGAATGATGAGAAAACTTATAGCTCTCATTAAATCCAAAAGTAAAAATACTGACAAAATTACTTAATGTACAATATCGATTGGAGCTGGCCTAATGAGAAATATAAAACATACTTAAGATACACATTTATTTTAACTGGAACTTTTAGGTACATAATATATATATATATATATCTATATCTATATATATATATATATATATATATATATATATATATATATATATATATATTTGTTTAAAAGTGGGTATGTTAATCTTAATTTTTTTGTTAAAAATTTAATTACTTTCTATCATTAAATTTTTAATTCTGAAATATTTTTAATATTTTTTATTTGTTATCATTTTTATATGCGATATATCAGATCATTTCTTTTCAATGATGTTTGAGTTGACCAATATATTAGACATAAAATAAAAATAATATAATTATTTATATCGATATAAATAATATATATATATCGGTACTAAGTTAAAATAATAAATTGACCTTAAAGTATATTATATAATAAATTTTACATTCAAGTTAAATCAATTTTTTTATTAAGTATAAAATAAAATAGATAAACTTGTGGTATATTTTTCTTACATAGATTTGAAACAATTTATATTAAGAAAAGTACAAAAAACTGAATGCAAACTTACAACTATTCTCACGTTTTGGCTAGAGGGCCAAAATCCTATATATATTTGACACGTGTTTGTCGTAATGCTAATAGTATGCCGAATTGAGTGCACCTTAGGGTACAAACAAAGCGAAGCGAAGTGAACTCATTTATAAAAGAAGAAAAAGCTAGGACAGAGAAGGGAAATGAGATAACATTAGCTTTGTGAATTAAAAAGACAAATAAATGAGGTGTACGTTAAACTATTATTCAATTAATGCTTGAAAAGGAACCCTATAATGGTGGTACCATATATGTATGCAGTGATTATGAAAATGACTTACTTAATATTTTATCAAACATTGAAAGAATTTCTAACCATTTTAATCTAAAAATTAGTATAAAAAGTATATTTTTATCAAATATATTATATTACATTGTATCTTATGTGATTATATTAGTTGGAGCCTAATAAATAAGATAATTTGATAACATCATTATATAAAACACATACAAAAAATAACGCATCACATATAAATGTGCTTTAATTATTTAACAAATAAAATATTATTTGTCTATAGAATAAAAAACAAATAATATAATAGTAACGCAATGAGAAAAAGAAAACGTGTGAATTTTCTTAGAGAAATATGAATATAAATATTTACAAACAAAAAGTCTTTCAAAATTACTCTTTTTTTGTTGCTAGCGTTTAAATATATTGACTTTGTAAGAAATTGGTTCTCGTAAATAATGATCCTATATTATTTATTTTTAATTTTAAATAATTAAAAAATCCAATAATTTGTAATATATGTATACTTTAATCATGACTCCATAATAATAAACTTTACAGATGACTAAGAGTATCGTAATATAATAGAATTCTAATTCTTCTCCTATCAAATATTTTAACAAATGATATGCTTCTCAATATTTTCTCATTGTTTTGTTTGTTTTGTTTTGTCATTGTTGGGGAATAAATAAATGATCTTTATCTTGAATTTTGTAATCATTTTGTATGATGAATAATGTTGGACAATAAAAGCATTAAAAAAGATATTAGGCACACAAATATTGCTTCAAACGAATGTGAAAAATATTATGATAATAATTCTAAAGTCATCGCAACAACCATAATGGTCAATGATTGTCAAATAACAGATTATATTGTTCGTCTATATTCCAAATAAATAACAATTAAAATGAAATGTTGGAGTATCAAAATAGTTTTGAATGTTTGAATGTAGTTGTCATTTTTATAGAAATATTTATATTCTCATTGGTGTCTTGTGCTCGAACATATGTGCAATTACTTTAGAGGTATTTTCAGGTAATGTGATGGCTTCAAAAAATAATTTAGCAACTTCGGAGAAGTACATGTAACCAAGATTTTGGAACGTGAACTTTTATTTGGAGATAAAAGTCATTCCCACCTCGTGGGGCGATGCATCAACGGGGTAGACACCAATATGTCTAGAGAAAAAGGAATAAAGTAGTTTATACAATGATAATTATCAGCAATTTTAATGACACGGTTAGTTATTTCATAGAGATATTTATGCATTGTTAGTAGAAATACCTTATTATAAAAATTATACGATCATGAAGTTTGACTATATGTTGAGTCAGAATATTTCTCAAGTGTTTGAATAAAATTCGCGTTTTGCCAAATGGATTAAGAGGAATTTTGCAATAGTATTGATGTATTTAGACTCCAGCAACTATGAACGTTTTTTTTTTTTTTTAGAACGTCAAAACCAAAATGAAAAAAAAAATCTTTTATTAGTACATAATTATTTTATTTCTAAATAAAAAAAGAAAGTAATGTATTTCATTCCTGCAATGATATGTTTAATAAATAAATTAATTTATTTTACAAACTTACTCATCGAAAATCATTCGATACCGCGTGCATCGCACGTGCACTTTACTAGTTAAATAAATGATTGGAGTTTAGGTTGGAATGTAAATAATAAAAATGTGCCACTTAATTTATTAATTGATTAGAGGTTTGAAGTTTAAGTTAGGCGAATTTTGCGACAGATCATATGGCGAGTCTAGCGTCCTCTTCCCCACTCGGATTGCAACGGTTTTCTTCCCTCCCGTCGGCCTAGGTTCCTGCTCGACCACGACGTTATGCGGGTGTCTTATCCCCGTCGTGTTCTAGACTAGCATTTCTTTTACGCCTTCGACCTCCTTTATTGTACCGAAAAAAAAAAGCAAAGACATGTTCGCTGAAAGTTACCCAGGCTGGAGCCCAAGTCAACCAATGAATGGTCCGCCCTTGGAGACATCAAGATAAAATTTTTGCCTGTGGGAGCCTATTGTTTGGCGGGTGAATCCATCATATGTGAATAAAAAATATATATTTATACTATCAAATGTCATTTTTACGTAAATATTTTTTTATAGTAAGAGATTTTAAAATGAAAGTACGTACAGAAGAACTACTGGGTGAGAAAATGTTAGAGTAGACATCAGTGATGTTAGAGGTTGTTTTATATGTTTTTTTTTTTTTGTTATTTATATTTGGAAAATATCTACAAAACAAGCACGTGTAATATCTTTCCAACAAGATATAAAATTATAACATAATAATGCAATTTATACGTCAATAATATAATGATTAAACTCTAGATACTCTATAAATATTGTGCAAAATCACACATGAACACTTTCACCGGACATGTTTAGTAATAATTTGCGGGGTAGATGGTAACCGAGCTCCCCGACCTCGAGTCGTTCTTAAGGAAGGTTATTCAGAGCTTTGTCTACTACTTGATTGTCCAAAACACACAAAAAAATGAAAAAATAAAGACCTAGACTATATTTAAATTTAAATTGGGAAGTTAACTATTTGGTACACTTAGAAAATAAGTCAATTACATGAGTTGGTCGTTAAGAATGTATGATGATAATTGTTGGAATTAATGAAGTTGTAAACATATAGGGGTGGTAAGAAAAATGTTACAAGTACATAATAAATGTACATAGAGATGTACATAACACTCACATGAAATGAAGTTCACTTTATTTTTTTTTTTTTTGTTTTTAGTAGTACCCAATGTAAGTATTATTTATATCTCTATATACAATATTATGTACTTATAACATTTCTCGGGTGCTCATAACTTTTCAGTATAAAAAGGTGGGAAATTTATTACAACTAGTGATATTCGTGTCTTTTAGCCAAAGATATTGTTTGTGGTTTAACATTTGGGCCGTGATCTTATCGGCCCGTTTGACAGTGCTATTTAATCTATTAGGAATTCCTCCATGCTCTACAACTTTCTTGTCGTCGCCTACTATAATTTCGCTATTGCCTGACTTGTTCTCACATTAACTCGCCGTAAGCAATTGTGGGCTACACATTGGAAATTAATTCGCCCACAACTAGAGGCAAAACGAAAATGATCGTCCACTTCAAAAAAAATAAATAAAAAATAATGCTACGATCCCGTTACGAAATCATTCTGTCAGTGTTTGTAATTATAGAAATAGTTGATCTAACGGTTACAAACTCCGTTTTAAATAGCATCTCCCATTAAAAAATACAATCAAATCAATGAGATGTCATGTAGGTCCAAGTAATTATATCTCGTGTTGCATATTTTATTTTTTACTTTCTAAAACTCTTGAGGGAGAGCTTTGCCGCCCTTGTGGTCCTACCCGGCTCGATTCCGAATTAGTCGGTTCCCCTGAATAGTTCTTTCCTCATGTGACAAAAACATTGCGTGAGTGAATAGTCCATTCATAACCTCGATTTATAAATTGCGGCTTAAGATCACAGCAACTCTTCATAAAATGGAAGTACCTGAAATTGCTCTAACTTTCAAAGTGACCCGGCAAGACCCGGAGTTGCTCCCGCCAGCAGAGCCCACACCTCACGAATTCAAATCTCTTTCGGACATCGACGATCAACCGGGCCTCCGTTTCCATGTCCCTATCATACAGTTCTACCGCAAAAAACCATACATGGAAGGAAAAGACCCGGTTCGGGTTATTCGAGCAGCTGTCTCAAGGGCGTTGGTTTACTACTACCCATTGGCCGGGCGGCTGAGGGAGGTCACGGGCGGGAAGCTGGTGGTGGAGTGCACGGGCGAGGGAGTTTTGTTCATCGAGGCTGACGCTGATGTGGCACTGCAGGAGTTTGGAGACAGTCCTCAGCCGCCCTTCCCTTGCTTCGAGGAGCTGCTTTACGATGTTCCGGGCTCAGGCGACATTACGAATTCTCCATTGATACTTATTCAGGCTTGTACTTTGTAACTCTGCATTTTTATTTTTTGTTTTTCAGTAAAAAAGTTGAGGATAATGTCAACACAACATTAATTGGCCTGATTTTCATATTGGTAGGTCAGTCGCCTGAAATGCGGTGGGTTTATCATCGGATGGCGCGTCAACCATATCATGGGCGATGGCGCGGGTCTCGTCCAACTTATGTCTGCCGTGGGTGAGTTTTCCCGTGGGGATCGGGCTCCCTCCATCTTCCCTGTCTGGGAACGGCACCTCCTCAATGCGCGGGACCCACTGAAGTTCCGCAAATATGACCCCGATGCCGAGGGAGATCCCATCCCCCTCGACAACAACCCCGTGCAACGCTGCTTCTTCTTCGGGCCAGCCGAGATTTCCGCCCTCCGCCGCCAACTCCCGAGCCACTACTCCACATTCGACGTTGTCACGGGCTGCCTCTGGCGGTGCCGCACGGCGGCCATCTCCACCGGTCCCCACCAGGTGTTCCGGGTCAACTGCATTGTGGACTGCAGAAAGAGGTTCGACCCACCGCTCCCCGGTGGCTACTACGGCAACGTAGTGGTGGGCCCGCCTGCAGTATCCGCCGCCGGGGAGTTATGCAGCAAACCGCTGGAATACGCGGTGGAGCTTGTGAGGAGGGCCAAATCGGAGGCGACTGAGGAGTACGTGAGGGTGATTGCCGCAAGGGGCCGAGTCGACGATTTCCGATGGGTAAGGAATTTTGTCGTTTCCGATTTGACTAGCATGGGGTTCGAGAAAGTGGATTACGGATGGGGCGAGGCCGTGTACGGCGGCAATCCGGTACCCATAAACTTGGTCACTTCTGCAGTGAGTTCTTACACCGTGTGGCGTAATAGTGAGGGTGAAAGGGGAGTATTGGTTCCCATGTCTTTACCAGCTAATGCCATGGAAGTATTTGCCAAGGAACTACGAGTGATGGTGAAAGGGGATAATCAACCATTAACACCCATACCCATGGGGAGGGATCGTCAACACAACATGCATTTCATTAAGTCAGGATTGTGAAAGATTTGCACATTAATTATACCACTTGAAATGTTGCTTACATGTAGTTTCTGAAAATGATGAAATTCCAAAATAATTATTCCAACAATGTTATTTCTGTTGGAATTTTTCAATGGATTTCAACGGAAACTCCAACAAAAATATTCTATTGGATTGGGTTTTTCATTGAAATTTTCGTTACACTTTGACGACTCCAACTGTAGATTTTCCAACGGGGGTGGAAATAAAAATTTTAACGGAATTTGCATATTGCAACGGAAATTCCTACAGTAAGAAGTTGTTGGAAATATAGCCGTTGGAATCATCAAATATCATCTAAAATTTCAATGGAAAACACAACGAAATATTTCCGGTGGAATTTCCATTGAAACCATTCCAACATAAGTTATACCATTGAAATATCCGTTGAAATTTTCATTGGAATATTTTACTTACAATTTTCCGTTGGAATATAACTTTTTTTTGTAGTAATATTCGACTAGGGTGATATTACAATAATTAACCAAAATATTATAAGGATGAGAAGTACGTACATCATTAAGCTCCAATAGTTGTCATGTACTACCCTCTTACGTTTGGATGCAATTAATTAATGA